CGCAGAAGGAGGGTGAGCTGAGTCTGGCGCCTGGGGACGTGGTCCGACAGGTGTGCAAGGGACCCGCACGGGGCTGGCTGCGCGGAGAGCTGGGGGGCCACTGTGGCTCCTTCCCGGAGCGCCTGGTGCAGGTGAGCCCCGGGGGTCTGCTTGGCGGGGCGTCTCAGCCCTCACCCTCGGGAGCTGACAGACCCCTCTCCCGGGCCCTCATTTCCAGGAAATCCCAGAGACTCTGCGCGGCGCAGGAGAGGCGCCGAGACCACGCTGTGCGCGCAGCCGAGGTAAGAGCCCATCGGGCTGGAGCGCGGAGCCATCGCTGTTCGGCCGGCCCACTCTTGCCCCGCGGGCGTCTCTGTGGGCGGAGCTGCTCGGGCCGCTCTGTGGCCTGTGATTGGTTCTCAAGCACAATGCTCCGCCCCGAGCGGGCCGGGGGTGCGCACCTCCCCCAGCTCAGCGGGCTGGGACACCTGCCTCAGCGTTCTCACTCACGTCCCACCCAGGTCGCCCTGCCAACTCGCGGAGCTCCCCCAAATGGTGCAAAGTGAACTTCAGCTACAGCCCGGAGCAGGCAGACGAGTTGAAGTTGCAAGCTGGGGAGGTTGTGGAAGTGATAAAGGAGGTGAGAGGAGAAGGTGATGCGAGGATGTGAGGGAGATGATGGAGGACACCCACGGGTGAGGGGAGGTGGGTGAAGTGATGGTGTGGGTGATGGGAATGGTGAGGGCACAGAGATGGGAAGTGAGGCAGCAAGGATGGAGGGGGTCATCGGGCAGAATCGGGGCAGAACCAGGAGTGTATGATTTCTAGACTCTTGGGGGCAGAACCAGAAACCCCTGTGTCCTCCCCCTCCCCAGATTGAGGACGGCTGGTGGCTGGGAAAGAAGAATGGGCAGCTGGGAGCCTTTCCATCCAACTTTGTGGAGTTGCTGGACAGTGGGCCCCCAGGTGAGACCGGACCCTGTGACCAGACTGCAGTCTCCAATGGCCTTCCCAGTGGCTGAAGCCTGTGACCCACACATCTTGACCTTGTGACCCCTTTGACCTCTTCTATGACCTAACCTATGAATTAACACACACACCCTCTAACCTCCCTTTCCTTCACCAGGCCTTGATAACCCAGGCATGCCTTCACTCAGCCTTGATTCCCAGAAACCTCCCAAGGTAAATTGGGCGGAGTGGGTAAAGAGGTGGGGCGTTCCTCATGGGGCATCGGCGAGGGTCGGGAGGAGGGATTGGAGGTTCAGCTTGTTCCTCCCTCTCCCTGCCCTCACTAGATGAGCAGCCTGACCTGTGACAACCCTCCAGATTACCTGCGGACAGGTGAGCACCCAGCCAAAGAATCCCTTGGGTAGCCCTTCCCAAAGCCGCTTTCACTTCCGGAAGTGAGGATCCAGCTAGGCTGATGGAGGAGGGATCTGAAGACTGATTTGGGGAAGGGATTTGGCTTCAGAGGACTGACCTTCCCTCAGTCTTCTACCCTGAGACCTACAGGGTCCTGTTTGACTACCAGCCGGAGGCCCCAGATGAGTTGGCACTGCGGAAGGGGGACGAGGTGAAGGTACTGAGGAAGGTATGAATGGCACAGGCAGGGGAGGGGGTAGGGAAGGGCGTGCTGAGAAGGGGTGGGGCCTGGGGAGGAGGGAGCTTGGGGACCAGGCACACCTCTCCCCAGCATCTTTCTCTCCCAGACCACAGAGGATGAGGGCTGGTGGGAAGGAGAGTCTCAAGGCAGAAGAGGAGTTTTCCCAGACAACTTTGTGCTCCCACCACCCCCAGTGAGTACAGAGCTAGACACTCAGGTGTGTGCATGTGGAGGGAGACAGGGGGCGGACAGGCTTCTCTGGACAAAGTCGGGGGTCAGGGTGCTCACTGGACACAGCTAAATGAGGATGGACCTAGAAATGTGGGGGCTTCTCTTCAGATTCTGATACATCTTTTTTGCACAGATCAAGAAGCTGCTCCCACGAAAAGTGGTATTGCAAGATTCAGGTGAGCGCCCTGGAGGCCGGGGATTGGAGGGGCATTGTCTGGGAGACCTATTAGTCCATAAACACCCACAGCTCCCCAGAGGTCCAGTACACCCACGTAGGAGCTACATCCTGGTGGGTTAAGGATCTGATAGGAATGTATGTAGATCAATGTTTGTATGTATCAATATGTTCGTGTTTCTCTGTATGTCTTGAAAATGCAGCTATCAGTGTATTTAGATCTTTTTCATTGTTTAATAACATGCTATTTAACCTCCATGTGTTTGGATGTTTTTATTGTAGTTGATTTCTTTTTTTGTTAATCCTCACCCCCCTCCCCCAATTGATTTTTAGGGAGAGTAGAAGAGAGAGGGAAAGACAGAGAGAAACATTGATGTTAGAGAAACACATCAATTGGTTGCCTCCTGCACAAGCCCTAACCAGGGCCTGGGCCGGGGAGGAGCCTGTAACCAAGGTATGTGCCCTTGACCGGAATCAAACCCAGGACCCTTAGGTCCACTGGCAAATGCTCTATCCACTGAGCCAAACTGGCTAGGGCAGGAAATCTTTTTTTAAAAAATAAAGCTTATGCCCTAGCTGGTTTGCCTCAGTGGACAGAGCATCAGCCTGTGGACTAACGG